AAAAAAGCCTTCACAATGGCGGCGTCAACGTTGGGAATCGGAATGGCTTCCGGCCAAAGGGTAAAACGGTCGATGCAAGTGAGAAGATAGACAAAACAGTTTGATGGTTCAAGGGGTCCTACAATATCCAGATGAGCGTGGCTAAACCTAGCATTAGGTGATGCAAAACTACCATTTGGGGTGTAGGTGTGGTGATGTACCTTGACCTTTTGACAGGCCTCGCAGGTGCGAGTCCAAGAGCGGACGTCTTTATTCATAGACGTCCAAACATACCGCTGACTAATTAATTTCAGTGTCACGGCCTCCAGGGTGTGCTAACCTGTGTAGGGCGTCGAATATCAGTCTTCGTATAGGTTCAGGGACCAGAGGTTTGGGTACCTGTTGCAAGACGTCACAAAGAATGGAGCCGTCCGAATTGGGCAAAGGAAGCCTGTGAAGCTCTAAAGATGATGAAGGGTCCAGAAGTGGGACAGCTGGTTGAAGAGCCGCCATGTGTTCTAGGTCAATGATCGGTAACTCTGAAACTAGGTTGAGCCGTGATAAGGCATCGGTCACGACATTTGCAGCGCCAGAAATATGTCTTATATCAGTTGTGAAATGAGTGACATAATCNAAGATATATGGCTAACAGCTGACGGCCGAAAGTGCCATCGCGACTTCCGAGAACCAACACGAAAAGAAGCCTATAGGTTGCCACTCATTATCAACGAGTTGTTGAATGACAGCACCTGCGGCAACGTTAGAATCACCAACGGCCAGGCTGAGAGGTGCGTCCGGAGAGTGATGAGCTAGAAGTGTAACCTGTGAGAGTGTCTCCTTAACGGCACTGAACGCCTGGAGGGCAGCGTCGTCAAAAGTTACCAGTTTAGAGTTTCCGCGGAATAGATTGGTCATGGGCTGAAAGATCTGAGCACAATGCGGGATAAACCAACGGTAAAAGTTAACCAATTCCAGAAAACATCGCAAGTCTTGAGCCGTAGTGGGGACGGCAAAACGACCTGTGTCCTCAACCTTGGATTCTAGAGGACGAATACCACTCTGGTCTATAGCATGCCCCAGAAAATTAAGGGAGATGCGGCCGAATTCTCACTTGTCTGAGTTGATAGTGATGCCATGGAGACGGATCCTCTCAAAGACAATATGTAAGTGAGTAAGATGTCCAGGTTCATTGATGCTGACAATGAGAATATCATCGAGGTAGGCGAACACAAGGTCTAGACCTCGGTAAACATTATCAATGAAGCTTTGGAAGGTTTGAGAAGCATTTCGCAAGCCAAAGGGCATGCGAAGAAATTCGAAGAGACCAAACGGCGTGACTACCGCGGTCTTTAGGTTGTCATCAGGGTCAACTTGTATCCGGTGGTAAGCACACACCAGATCAAGTTTAGAGAAGATAGTTTTGCCACGTAAGCAAGCTAGGAAGTCATGGATAAGCGGGATAGGATAGCAGTCAGGTGTGGTAACCCTGTTACGAGCGCGATAATCACCGCACGGACGCCAATCTGCCGAGTCCTTTTTGGGGACTTGCCAAAGGGTGAAGCCCAGCTGCCGAATAGATCCAACTTTGAGGAGCCCGTCAAATTCTTCCATTGCGACAAGGGGTTTATCCAGCGCGAGACGACGAGCACGACACTGGGGGCCCTGACGTGTGAATGGAATGCGTGACTGGCGTGGTGACAGAAGTAAGAATATCTGAAGGTCGGGTAATCGTGGGATAGGCGGACGGTAACTCACCTTAAGGACCGGGAGGAAACTTGCGAAAAATGGGGCTAATGGAGTTTAAGGTTGTTACTAGACCATGAACAGTGATATTACGTTCCAGGTCAGTCAAGACGACGGAGTGTCAACGGATAGACCGAAATATTGGAGGAAATCTATTCCAAGAATAGGGAATGGAGCATCAGCAACAATGAAGTCCTAAGTGGTTACTTGGGGCAGGCGAAAGTCCACCGTGAGCCACTGTGTTGATCCAGGCCTACACGATGGCACCTACCCTGGAGCGGCGCGGTACAGTTTCAGGACATTGGCGATCGATCACGTTTGAATGCGGACGCCAATAGCAAGTGCATAGCTTCTGAATACACGTCATTGGTGGATGGTGCTAGCCAATCCTAGGCAATGCAGACAGAAGCAAAATTATGCAAGCAGTGCTGCAATCCAATTGGTGGATCCTCAGGTAGCCAACTATCTTCTTTTGTACATATTATTTAATCACCTTTCTTTCTCCCAATAAACGAACCACTTACTGCCTATTTTCTGACCTTTTCCTCCTTTCTCGTTCTCCTGGGACATTGGGAATCCGTGCCATTGTGGTCCAGTGCTTCTGCGATCCAGTCCGTGCTAGCTGATTATTGATTCGGGTCCTGTAATTTATATTGCGTGGTTGGTGTTCCGAATTCCGTGCGTGTTACTACTACTAAGACAATCATTGCACATTGGCGTCACGTGATGGAGCTCCCAACGATTGAGCAACTGAACCTGCAAGCAAGTCTATCCGAGATCGAGGAATGGGTCGAACGGTTCGAGCTGTGGTGTAGCAGTCGCAAAGGTGGTACACAGAATCAGTCAGCCCCATTTCTTACTGCTGGCGGCCGTGACCTGTACTCCCTGTTGAGAAACCTGGCGTTCCCTGAAGCTCTAGCCAAACTACCATACGAGTCCCTGAAATCGCTGCTGCTCAACCACCTGCTGCCCACTGAATTCCAAGCACATGAAAGGGCCAAATTCAACTCCATGATTCGTTCCGATCATGTTTCCTGCCGTGAATTCATCCTGCAGTTGAACAAACAAGCATCACGTTGCAACTGTGGTGATCGCCTGGAAGAACAAATGTGTGACCGCTTGGTGGCAGGCATCAATAATCTGACTCTTCAACGAAACTTGCTGGAGAAGAAAGATTTAACTTTTGCTGATGCCCGCAAGATCTGTGAGCAAAACGACGGCCTGATGAAAGCCACTTCCAGCGAATCAGTCACATTATTCCAACGGCAGAAGACACGACCGAACCGACTTCCATTGCCCACGAGTGTACCGAAGCCGCAACACGACTCTTCAAGCAACGAGAAACGTATCAATCCCCGTTCGTCATGTGGAGCTTACCATCTGCCCTCCAATTGTCTCTTCCGAAATGCCAAGCGCCATGCATGCGGGAAAACTGGCCACATTAGGAGAGTGTGTAAACAGCCCAATTGCAATCTCGCACAGCCATCGGTCGACGAGGGAACCAGGCCTGTGGTTTCCCTACGAACCCAAAGTCAACGTGCCCAGTACCCGTACCCAGATGTGAGATTCCAGTCGGATACGAAGCATAATTTCATTGTGGATACCGGAAGTAGGGAATCTATCATTTCAACTAAAGTAC